ACACACACACACACACGTGATTGAGTTCTGGTTTGGGAAAGGCCTGATGTTGGGTTGGAGCAGTTCAGTTTCTTCGTTTTTGTCAGTCCGATGCCACACATCACTCCGTGTGGACGTGGACGGAGTCACCGTGCTGCAAGCCACTGTGCGCTGCATGCGCTGCATGCGCTGCAGGCTTCATGGCGGGTTTTGGGACCGAGCCGATGGACTTTCCCTTGGAACGATACCTGGACTTCCCCGCACTCCTTCCAGCGGCCACCAGTCGTGGCCCGGTGTCCTTATGGCGGACTCCGCGCCAATGGCCACTCTGTGGATGGGTGGCCTGGAAGAGAAGATGGGAGGGAGAAGATCTGGATGAATACCCCTTGGCTGCCTGTCAAGGGTGAAACTCTATCAGTAACGTTTGCCACGAACCATTGAACGCTCAGCTCAGGTCTTCGAGTGGACGGACAATCGGGCCTTGGAGATCGACAGCACTTTGGCTGAGCGGCGGCTGGCGGAGTTCGTCCATGCCTTCGTGAAAACTCTCCAGGCGACGGCGATGAGGGCTAATCAACCTAACGCGGGCTCACAATGGCTCACACACACAATCCAATGTGGTCAATTTGTCATATAGAGCTCTCTTGGCGTGTTCTTGTGAGCCATGGTGGTGTTCAACCGATTATTTCAAGAAATCACATCGATACTCAGAAAAGGAGTTGTTTGACACGAGCGTTTGATGCCGCTTCCCTCGTGGATGCGTGTGCGTGCCGCAGGTGTTGGATCTGGCACACAATGTGATTATTCGGATGTCCCACCGACAGGCTCACACGGTGGAACTGGCGACTGCGCTTGCCAGGTATAGATTCATTAACTATAACTAGTAGTACTTAGTAGTACTAGTAGCTTGTTGCTACTAGTAGCGATGCACTTGCTACTAGTAGCTTCTAGCTACTATAACCAGTAGTAATGCCCTTGTTACTAGATTCATCATCTTTAACAGCTCCCCCAACATGCCTTCTATTCCAAGAAGATACAACGAATAACAAATAAACCATATGGCTCATGCCAACTTGTGCCAGACTTGCGTGGCGGACGTCTTAGACCAACTCCAGGTCCAGTTCGTTTTGGGTTCATGGAAGTTTCGCTTTGCCCTGGCCAAAGGCATGCATGATGTAGGAATGCGCGTGGACTCAAGCGTTGAGGGTTCAACGCAGGTATTTGGGGTTCAACTTGATGACTGAACTCAAGACTCAATCTTTTCTTGTGTGGTTGGTTGGATACCGTTCTCCCTCCATTTTCTTATCAGAGAAAGCCCTTTCACCTTGCACACTGACATCAGGTCATTGTCTTTCCTCGCAAGACGCTCTTTGAGCAGAGCAAGGACGTCACAGAGTTGCAGGTCTCGGGGCATGAAGTCCTTGGCTGGTGGGTGGTGGCGCGCAAGGAGACCGGAAAACTGCATTTGCATTACATCGTCCTTTGCTTCTATGAGTCTCCCAGACTCGCCCAGTGAAACGGATGTTGAAACAAACAGCCAAGCAAAACCTTGAGGCGCTCGCGAGGATTTGAAGACAAAGACAAAGGTTGCAGGAATAGGGGAAAGACATTTTAGCACTTGCACTTAGGTGCGCTCCTTTACTTGTTGCCCAGACCGAAGCTCCCATTCATCAAAGTCATTAACAATTTCCCCATGTATATTATATAATACCAGAAACATCAAAAGATTTGGCAGATGCAGCTCAATTGGTGCTGTACTTAGATCGGCCCGAACCAGGAAGTTTTATAGAGGTTTCGTGGCTTTGTTATTATTGTTAGTATTATTACCATATTTGTGCATATTTCTTTCCGAAGTTGGTCTAACATTCCTTCAGTCTCACTTCTTAGCTTGCGAGGAGCATGCGTTAACGGGCGTCGAGGCGGAGGCACGGCTGCAGCAGGCGCAGCTGCCAAGGAGCGCCCAGCAGAAGGTGCTGAAGGCGACGTGGGGAGAGCCGGGAGGCGGGAAGAAAGAAAGGAAGTGAATTAGAATATCAGAATAGCGACAGGTCTAAATAGAAGGCAAAAAGGAGGTAAGGACTCCTATAACAGCGCCTTTTTTAAGGCGCAAGGCGCCTTATCCAAAGGGGCCCTTACCTTGTTTCTTTTCCTCGTCTAGACTTCTTCTCTAGACGAGCGACAGGCCTTTGGTCTTGGAAGTCACCAGAAAGAACAGCACTCGAAGACGACGTGCTGATGACGTCATGATTAACGCCTTTTCTGCTCCCAAAAGCAAGGGTATAAGTCTGTCGTTAGTCACTGTTGGTGCTTGACAGCTACAAACTCCTTTGTTCTATTTCCCTGCATACTTCCCTCAGATTTCTTTCAGGTGGTGTGCCTGGTGTAACCCTTGTCCCGGCTCTCTGTTCTGATGGAAGCTGTTCACCGCAGGCGCTGGAGTGGATTGGTTGGACCCTGAAAGAGGAGGCAAAGTTCCTCTGTGACACACAGTTTCCGACTGTTGCGTAGCGGGACAAACCCGCAGACAGAAGTGAATACGACCCAGACGAGCACATAGCAATGTGCGAAGGTCCGGGGATGACTCGATGTGGCACCCACAAATTCATTGCTTTGGACATGTAGTGGTTGCGAGGAGTCTTCTATTTTAAGCAGACACCTTTCACCAGCTGTTGGTGCATTTGGCGTGGTCAAGCCCTTCGAAATCTGTGGGGCTGGACAACTTGTAGAAAAAAGGCAGCTCGGTCTGGGTATCTTCGTGTGCCTTCCGTTGTGTTTGGGTACCGGGACGATACGGTCTAGGCCAGTTGGAATACAGCAGAATAGACTTGGAATACCTTCAATAGACAGTCAGACAGATTAGACCCAATTGGTGGGGAGTCATCATTTGGCACAGACATGGCTTGCCAAAAAGGGTCAGTCCGTTGTTCAGGGAGGCTTAGTGGATCCAAGATTGAGTCTTAGTGGACCAAGAAAAAGAATCTTATAGTAGCTTCTTGCTCCTAGTAGCGTCCTTGCTCCTAGTAGAGATGCCGTATGTTACTAGTAGAGGTGCCAGGAGCTACTAGTAGCTTCTTGCTCCTATAGTGGTATGACCAGAATGCTGTCTGATTCAGACTCACGCGTGCTTTCTTTGGTATATCAATATGAAGACACAGGGGCGGCCTTGATGACTACTTGACAGGACGCACCCACTGTGGATTACGTGGCTAGGCCACCCCTGCAGCTGGGGTGCCGGGTGAATGAGGAGAGAGGGACAGGAAATACACATCGTGGAGTTTGAGATCCTTCACTTTTGTTCACCTTCCAATCCAGAATTCCAGGTTTTGAACTTGAACTCGAGGTTGCAAGAACTTCTTGGGAACTACAACTTTTTCCCCAGATAGCGATAGCTATGGGGTTCTTACTTCAAGTTATATACTTACTGTGCGCACTTTGGAGACAGCGCGTCGGTGCTTGTGCCGGTGCTAGGTGCAGGCGCAGGTGCTGTCAGCTGGCCGTGCACACTTTGGAGACAGGGTGTTGGTGCTGATGTTGTGCGTTGGCTGTGCGCACTTTTGAGGCGGCGGTGCTGGTCAGGTGCTGATGTTGCTGCTGGCTGTGCGCGCTCTCGAGACAGGGTGTCGGTGCTGCTGCCGGTTGGTGGGTGCAGGTGCCGGTGGTGGGTGCAGGTGCCGGTGCAAGCCCTTTGATCTTTTGCTGCACGACTGACAATTCTTTTTATTTTTTGCGAGCTACTTAACCTTTTGTCAATTGTTTGAAGTGCTTCTTTTTTTGAGTGCGGTGTATTTGAACCAACCATATCACTTGCCATTGCATTTTTCCTGCAGGTTCATCGCTAGAACGCAGCAGAAGTACACGCACAGAGGCCTCGTTGGAAGAATTAAGTGAAATGGGATGCTGAAAGCTTGTGCAGGACCTTGACAGTATCCACGTTTTGCTGCCAGTTTTTGTTGCTCATTGACTCCAGGGATAGTTATATAATACGGTCAATAGGCTTTGTGAGTGTGGGAAGAAAGGTTCGTTTGCAGATCATGATGACACCCAAGGTTTGGTAAGTTCAAACTCTTTAACTCCTGCCTGTGAAGAAGATTCCATATGCCTTCAAACAGTCTACAGAATGCAGAACATTCCCCAAATCCGCAGAATGCAAGATAGCATTGGATGGGTTGATTCATGCAGTTCCACTAGTATGGTCCCCTTGGGTGTGGACTGCTTGAGAGCGTCGTCTGCCCCAAAGACGCCTCCGTTCTCGACCACCGGCGATCGGCATCAGGTGGTGTTCGCCCCTTCGGCATCTCTACTCTGTTGGGTGGCTTCGACTCGAAGGGCCAGCCTGCCTTGCATGGAACCCCAGCATACTGACAACCCGACAACCCGGTCAAACACTCTCTTTGCCAAGAGCTTTGGGGGTATCATGCATTCTTGGACACCAGTCATCTAGATCTTCAAGCTTCCAGCTGTTGCCTGCCGGCCAAAGGTTCCAGACAGACCCAGCGGGAACCTACTACGCTTGGAAGGCTGGGCTTGGATAAGGTTTCCAAGAGTTTGGTCGTTTGAGCATTGGGTGTTCAGCTGGGTTGGACGGAAGACGTTATTTCAACCAAAGCGGCAAAGTTTTGTTGGGTACGGTCCTGACCTGGTTGCTTTGATGCTTGCAATGCACGAGCTGAGATAGTTTTCTACAGGAGGTCAATTCAACTCAACTTATTCTTGGCAGTACTTGCTTGTCTCTTTACGGCGCCAGTCCTGTCAGATTAACCCTCTAAGTCAAGCCTAAACATATGCTGGTGCGTTTTGGGCGCCTGAACAAGCCAAATGTTCCCAACGAACAAGTGAGGCAACAGCCATTGGCAAGAACTCCAAGAGTGTGACGGACTTTTTGGAGAAGAAGTGGCCTGGCCAGATGTGGCAACAACCTACATAAGACACCCTAAGGCTAAATATGATCAGGGAAAGAACATGTTGCCAACAGTTTCTATCGACATTATACATTTGCTATAGATTTGTGTTGCTGAGGGCCATCCCAATAGCGGGAAGAGTTGATCATCTTGTCCCTGGAGGTCTTCTTGTTGGTGTTCTTTTTGGTTTCCAGAAGACCATGTTTGGTTCGGCGCTGGTCGGCATGGCAAGCAAGACACATCTTAGCGGCTAGAGCGCCGTGCTCTTGTTTGTTGATAATATGTCTAAACCACCATACCTAAAGGCCGTAGGTTCCTGATGTTCGTCGTGTGTTGGGTGGTTGACTTCGAAGGTACAAGGAAGATTTAGACGAGGACGCTGTGCGAGCAACCGTGTTGACCTGTTTGCGCGAAGCTCTCTTGGTGAAACCTGCTTCCCTAGGCACTTGGAACGATGCATGTCATGGAGGGGTTTACATTTGCAAACAGCAAACATACAACTTCAGATATATATATATATACACATACATATACAGGGGTTGGTAGTTGTCATGGAGTCTTCAACCGCACAACTTGTTTTCTTTTGTTTTTTTGCACTCTGACCTTCCTTTCCTGTCACTTTTGCCTTCACCTCCGCTTGACGCACTCTTGGCGCACGCAGAAGCTGCAGGATGCCACGGTGAAGCTGGCACTGAAGGGTCTCTTGGAGGTCACTGAGGCCTCTGGGAAGAACATCGAGGTGCCGAGATGGGAACGAGGGATGGGAACATCGAGGTGACAACGGGGTGTCTTGAGAAGGGCAAACAGGCCGCAGGTGATTTAAACCCAGTCTATGTCCTTTTCATCATTCGGGAGCGATGATTGAAAAAAGGTGAGTTCTGTCAATGCTTGCCTTTGTTGCGAGGCCCTTGCTTTTGTACTTGTTATGGAAGATGCACTGATATGGCAGCATGGGCCATGGAGGCCTCCATAGCTATGACGCTATGCTCTCTCGGCCTCCTTAATCACCCAATTCTCGGCGCCGCATCGAGCCACAAAAAGGTGGTGATCATCAAGGAGTCAGGGATCACATGGATGCCCGACGACACCTTGGAGCCATTGGTCAAGGAGTTGGATGACACCGCAGCACCTCGGCATGCAGATTTTGCTAGTTGACGTTGTGGCGGTTTTGCCTGTTTTGCATTTGCAACAAAGAAACATGTAAAGAATGCAAGATGTTTTCAGACAGACAGCTGCGGCGAGCTGCTAAGGAAAAGATTGCAAAGCTCAAGGAACAGCAGTGAGATGGTGAGATGAACCAAATGTGAAACACCAATCTAGAATCTAGAGTAGTGATTAACCTCCGACAGTTGGTTGTATTGTTTGGTAGAAACCTTCTTGGAGTTTCTTGCTGATGCAACATAATGAATGTCTCCCCCATTCCCCCATTTTTAGCAAGATTGTGGATGTTGCAAATTGACAGTCAACAAGATTTCTGCCTGATATCTCTGGACATAACAAAAGCACCCAAAGACACGACTCAGCGTGCGCCAAGACTCGTGTGAGTCGAATGAGTCACCGCAAACTACGGTGGACCAAACTGAACAGGGGCGACACCCTTTGGGTCTCATCGAGTGGCGAAGATCCGGAGAGAAAAGGACGGATCTCAAAGAGAGGGATTGAAGACGACGGCCTCCAACCTACTAGAGATGGCCTCCAACCTACTTGCAATGGCCTCAATCCTAAGATGGCTTCCAACCTACTAGCGGTGGCCTCAAACCTAAGAGCGATGGCCTCCTGGTCTCCAACCTACTAGCGATGGCCTCCAACCTGAGATCGCTGGCCTCCGAATCTACTAGCGATGGCCTCCATATAAGAGTGATGGCCTCCAACCTACCAGCGACGGCCTCCAACCTACTAGCGATGGCCCCCAATACTGAAGGTGGTCAAAGAGAGGGATTGTAGACGATCTCGCTCTTTGGAAGACGCTCCAGCGGGTGGGCAATGAGAAACACCTTGAACATTCTTGAATTTGGGTTTCAGGAAAGAGGGTGATGTTTTAAGATATTTAAAGCCTAGAGTTGTTCTGGTACTCCTTCACTCAGCCACGCAATCCATCCCCACCCCATCTGACAGGTAACATAGTTGAACTAATTGACCAACAAAGACATTTGCAAAAACCTCCTCCTCCTCCTCCTTCCCCGATTCCTCCTCGTACTGCTACTGCTAGTACTTAGACGCTACAAGCCAGGGAAGGGTAAGAAGTGACACAGATTGATGTAGGTAAAGGGTGACAGGAACCTTTCCGAGCCTTGGAAAATGCCAAGGTTCCCTTTCCATGCTGAGGCTCACATGGAGCAATCTGCTGAGCAGGACAGGCGGAAATGTGGCGCTGGTAGCTAGTGTTTCCTGCACGAGGTTGCTGAAAGGTATGGCTGCTCGATGAGGTGATCGTCGTGATCGTATGCTGCCCAGCTACAGGATGAGCCACCGGAAGCTGGGCGAAGTGCACCCTTCTCGTCAGTGGTCTGAGTGATGCAACATGTGGAGTAAGAGGTGAACTCATTGTCTTCGCAAGTGGCTCATGGCTCAATGATTTTTCAGGAAGTATATATATATATAGAACTGCACTTGACCCTGTGCAGAAGCAGTCTGGATTGCAATAACAGACCGGACAGCAGGTTTGAATTCAGTCAGACCTGCTTGTTGCTCGTGGCAAGTTCGTTGCTGAGGCTAGTGCTTAGCAGCTTCTGGAATGTGTCGCCGGCTTGCCACTGCCCCAGTGTCAGAACGCGGGATGTTTCACCTGGCCTAACACCATGAGTAGATTCTGCCGAAGGAAAGGCAAAAAGCAT